CAAGGCACGGTTATTGGAGTCTCCTGTTTGCGCTTCTGTTTTCTTCAGTCGTTAAGTGGGGTTAGAATCAAGAATTAGGACCTTCTTTCTCTGCCAACTGGAAACATAAGTGACTTGTTGACACACAGTTCTCTCTCCCATATACTTCCAGAGTAACAGGAAATCTTGGCCAAGTAGCCCCTGAAAGGAGCTGGTGGCCTATGCTCTGGCCTCCCTTGAATGCAGACTCCATGTCTGTCACGCCGTGCCCAGAAGGACATCATAAATCATTTATAATTTATAAGGAGCCCGGCCAGTCCTGTGCTACACCCTGCGAGCTGCTGGTGTCTGTCCACACACTGTGGGCTCCCTTCTCTACTTCATACAGAGCCTTTTTCACATGATCCATAGGACTAAAGTGGAAAGTTTTCCCCCTTAGCCTGGCCCAGCCAAAGCGGAAAGGCTAGAGGAGACAGAACACCCTTGTTTCTTGAGGCTGTGCCATGAGCCTCGCTTGCCTTTCTCCTTGACTGGAAAATGAAAAGGGACAGAAAACAAGACTAGGACCAGGAAAAGACTGTTTTCTCTTTAAATCATACTTTCAACAAAATGGACGTATATTTTGAGTGGCAGTAACCAGTGTGTCACCACTGGAAACAACATCGAGCACAACAGTGTGGTTTTTGTTGAGATGACTGGAAAAGGGAACAGGTGGGCACAAGCTGTTCACCAGGGGCTCAGGTGAGATGACCCTTGATCATAACATGAAGGCCGTGACCGGGTGCACTGAACGAGGGAGTGGAATCCCGATGAAGACAGGGTACTACTGAGCTAAGCAGTCTCTGGGGGAAAGCATCGGGTATGGAAGTCTGTGTAGTTGGACATTCCCAGGATCAGGAAGAGACCCATACTAGGGAGCTGAGATGCTATCCAAAGAGAGATGAGCAGCCCCCGTATGTCCTTGAAAGACCAGTTTTTTAAAAAAAAAATACTGGAAAATAATAGGAGATCTGCAAAATCAGGAAAGTCACAGGTAATGTTTCTTTCACACCCAAGAGAGAATGAGAAGGTGTGCTATTGTGATCAGGGTGGAAATGTCAAAATATTAATTTACCCAGTGCAGAAAGTGACACAGAAATTGTGTATTTGTTTGATCTTGGCGTCGCCAGTCACTTGTGCTGTTGCAATCAGGATAAAAGAGACCGCTCGTGGCCCACTTGTTAACTGAACTGGCATCAGTGCTTTTCATGGATAGACTTGGAACTGTATCCAATATCCTGCCCCTCATCTCCTGGCAATGTGTGGTTATGATATAGCTGTGGGACTAACAACCCTACACACACACACACACACACACACACACACACACACACACACACACACACTATATTTTCCTTCTTGTACACATTAGTGTACTCTTCAATCCCCAAGTCCCTGATGTAGTCCTGGGAGCTAGACCTCTGGTGATTTCAGTGGTCTCTCTTGTTCCTGGTGAGCACTGTGGAACAGAGTCTTACTGCCCTCTATCCACACGTGGCTTCCTACAGTCCAGTGACAACTAGGGCTTTGGTTTGAGTCACATGCAGAAGTCCCAGGGAGAGAGATCTGGGAGCTACCTGGGAAATCTCTCCTTAAAGCTCATGCGGAGCTGAATGGGCCTCGGAGGCATGTATTTTTGCCTCCAATAGTTGAAAAGCAGGCGAACAAGCATCAGGAACATTCCCATGATGCTCCTGCCCTATGTGGCATGCTGAACTAAAATGACCTCTCAAGTCCGTTCCAATGTAAAACCTCTTCGGAGTCCATGAAAAACGTCCAGTGGATCGGCTCCGCAAACACACAGACACTGTATAAACACAGGGCAAATATTTTAAAAGGTGAAGAATAAGATTCTTGTACTTCAGGGAGAGCAGGGCTTGGAATTTTGTGTCCAACAACATACCTTCCATACCCAGCAGCCTGAAGCTTGCCCACATTGGCCCTCACACAGTTATCTACATTATGTGTTTAAAATGCTCTCAGCCAAAGACCAAGCAAACAGCGAATGGTATTTTCCTATCAGGGCCCATTTATGAGGCAGAGAAAAAGAACAGAACTGTTGGTTTTGATTGCTGGTAGGAGCCGGCACGGAGCTTCACGGAATTCATGGGAAGAAATGGGAAGAATTTTTGTTATACAAGGAAGAAAGAAGGGAGACTTGTTTAAGCCAAGGTTTAACTTAGAATTAAACCAACAAAAACTCAAAACTCAGACTAAAGAGCGGACTGGGATCCGCAGTAGAAAAGCCCATGTGTGAGTGAGTTATGTTCTAGTCTCTCAGACGAAGAAAGAAAATTCTTAGTAAAGAATAAAGGTCTTTAAAGATCTACAAGACGGGAATTTTGGAGTGGCCTTCATTGTTGACACAGAATCCCACAGTATTTGATTTAGTGACCACTGACTGAGTCTTGCCTCTCATTTTATAGATGATAGATTAGAAGCCCAAAACTTGATGTAGGCCACCCAGCATCACTTGACTTGTTGCCAGTGTTCTGGGACCAGCACCCGAGACTCCTGAAAAAATCACGTGACGTTTAAGGCAATGTTACAGAAGTGGTAGTTGTTGAAAAGTTCTGTTTCCAATTAGCAAGGGGTGGCTGGGCAGAAGGCAGGCGGTGCAAGTGGCTGTGTCTTGGATTGACAGTGAGTTGGGGTACTTTGATTGTGAACAATCTGGCACCTGGTAGTTGCTGCGGCCTTGGGGTGTTCGTCTTTGGACCTCTCTTCTCTCCCTCGAGGAGAGTCTAAACATACTGACACTTCACTTAAAGAACAGTGCTCTTTAATGGATTCCCAGAAAAGAACTCATCTGGGCCACACCTACTTAACCTGGTTCGCTGTGATCACCAGCTTTCTGTGAGCTATGGATACTGGTTTCTGGAATTGAGAGTGGAGACCAGGGCTGGAGATGGGAAGGGAGATGTGTCTCCACAGAACAATAAATGGGTTCTTTGTGATATTTTTTTCTTTCTTTTAACCATTCACTCATTCATTCCTTTTCTTCTTTGTTTATATCTCTATTCCAAAAAGCTGACAACTTAGAACAAAGAGCACATATACTATGCATAGAATGAAACTGAGTTCAGGTTGTATAAAGGAGAAAATATGAAATGTCGCTTGAGGTCTGCGTTAAGTATCAAGTTTCACTCTGACTTTTCTAGTAACCAGGATTTAAAAAAGCAGCACACAATTCCTAGTTATAAAGAAAGGGGGAACCCCTGTTTCTTCAAAAGAGGCTAAGTACTGCTATTCTAAGAGCTCTTGCCTTCAGTAGACACTCATAGAAGACATTTGTGTAGTCAACCAAGGTCAATGTCCACCGTTCATCCTCCTCCACCTGCTGGGCCCTCAAGTGGGAAGTGCAGCTGGTAGCTACTAGAATTCAGATATGCAGGCTCAGTGCCACGGAGGTCCTACCTTCAGCTCCGAAGCGCCATCCTAAGTGATATCAGAAATACAGATTCCTTCCAAAGGAAGAAAGAATCCATGTAGAGATTCCCTTCCCTTGACTTGGTTCAAAAAGCTGCCCGTTCTTAATTCCCTTCTTCATCCTCCCTAAGGTTTGTCAAGGGATGTACCAGAACCTCCAGAGTGTATGACTGAAGAAAGAAAAATTTACAGAGATCCATTGTGATAAACTTTTGAGTTGATGGTGTGAAAGAGGGAAAAAAATAAATAAATAAACATCAAACAAGAAACCAGTAAACGTTATCCCTCCTCATCGGATTCGGATGAAATGTTTACAGGAACATTGTGGGTTGTTCATGATTTGGGGCTTTTCGTTTTGTTTGTTGTTTAGATTTTTTTTTTTGCATTAAGAACTAATTTAGGAGGGCTAGAGAGACGTCTCAATGGTTAAGAGCATTACTGCTCTTCCAGAGGACCCAGGTTCAATTCCCATACACACATGGTAGCTTACAACTTTTGTCTATAACTCCAGTCCCAGAGGATCCAACACCTTCTTCTGGCTCCTCAGGCATCTGTATACATAAAATAAATAATAATTAAAAAATTAAATTGTAATTTTAAAAAAGAACTAATTTAGATATGGCGAGATGGCTTAGCAGATGGCTTAAAGACACCTGCCACAACACGTGATGATCTGAATTGAATTCCTGGGACCCATATGGCAGAACTGACTCCCGAAAGTGTCCCCTGACATCTACATGTACACGCGTGGCATGTGTGGAGATATATGCACATATGCAGCCACAAATTAATGAATTGATTGATTGATGTAATTTTAAAGGCTTTTGAAAAGAACTAACATTAAATCTTCTGAAAATCCCCACACTTATCTGGCTTTCCAGCCTTCATGCTTCTATTCTTCTCTTTTTACTGTGTGTATTCATTCTGCCAGACACTGTTAAATAAGGATATTGTCATACAAGTCTATATGGTATATTCTTCTCATGCCTCTTCCTATTAATCCCCTTTTCCTGTTGACAGCCTCACTTCTATGCATACACACCTTTTATACACATGCATAGACTGTGTGTGTGTGTGTATACATGAACATTATCTATACGTACATGGTCTATGCATGTGTATAAAATCCAGGAATCACTTATGCTGAAAACACAGAGATGAAATCACTTCATATGACTGTCTCCTGTTGCACACTTGGATATCTCACTGCAAAGGCCCGTGTCGGCATGTATTTCAGAAAGCACCATTATCAGAGAAAAAACGCCGAGTGGCCTCTGTGCTCCATAGCCGGTATACAGTAAATTGTCTGGGTTCCTTTTCAGACATGATCATCCTGGCCAGATACAGTGACTGGGCCTCAGTCATGCATGGACTCCTTGTGTCCTTGCTGTGCTAACAGTACTGTGTAGACAAGTGTTCTCGGTGGGCATAAAACCAAACGGGGCTTTGAACCTTCACGTGGACAGAATAAATGTGCTTAAGTACTTTGAATACTGTTGATAATTTTGCTAAGCAATGACTTGATTCTTACTTGTGCTTATTTTTTTTTTCAGTGTTAGAGAGGAAGATCTCCACCAGACAGAGTAGAGAGGAGCTGATAAGAAGGGGCCTGCTTAAAGAACTGCCTGATCAAGGTGAGAAAATCCATCTTACATTTAAACTAATGGATTCTTCATTCTTTGCTTTGTTATTTTCTTTGGGGATTTAAAGTGACCATGGTCACTGTCAGATAAAGCAGCCAGGAGTGTATGCCGGGAATCTTGCCTCGACCTGGGATGTCTCTGTGGGTGGCCAAGAACCTGAGGCGTTATGGAAACCTGAGGTGTTATGGTGACTTTTCTGGTCAATCCTTCTCCAGACGTTGCTTTATTAAGTCTGTGCTCTTCAGGCTGCTGCACCAGTAGCTAGAGATACAGGTCACGATGCTTGCCTGCCTCCCTCCCCCCCCCCCCACAACCTCAAGCTTTACTGTTCTAATCAAGTTAAACCCCATCGATTGAGTGAGTTCAGTTTGAGTTTGTTCGCGCCTTGCTTGTTCCTAAACTCTGCCAATAAAAGAGATAGCAGCAGCTTCATCCCTCGCGTTGTCTGAGAGACTCACCCGTGTTCACAGATCAATAAAGCATGACTGGATGACTCAATCTGCTGTATGCTTTCTCCCAAGAAATCGGTTCCTCTTGTGTTTCTCTTAATCTTCTTGCCTCTCACCTTGTTAAGGACAATTCTCTCCAGGGTTTGTTTGTTTGTTTGTTTCATTTTGTTTTTCTCTTTCCTTCCCTTTCCCCTGTTACCTCTGTCCTGTGAAGGAGGGAAGTTGATTAGAAAGACAAGTATTGTGTAGAAATGAAGACTGATCCTCGAAGAAGACACCGCACTAGTTATTTTGCCAAATAAATAAATCCATAATATTTTCTTTGCTCCTACCACTGTTAAAGCTAAAGGGTATTTTGCTACAATGCCGGTGATTTATCTCATTCTTCTCCTCATTCCCCCAAGTTTCCTGGGGAATTATTATCATTGTGACTTTAGGGGAAGAAATGAAATACTATTGATTTGGAATTTAAATAATGATACTTCCCTCTCTATAGCTAGATAGATGATAGATAGATGATAAATAGATAGATTAGATAGATAGATAGATAGATAGATAGATAGATGATAGATAGATGATAAATAGATAGATTAGATAGATAGATAGATAGATAGATAGATAGATAGATAGATAGAGATATCATATATGTTCCTTATAAAGAATATAACAGTTTGGGGCATACATTGTATATTAGTTAAAATGTCATGTTTTTTCCAATACCAGAATAATCCCAGTGTGCAGCTAAGAATTGCATAGCTGCTTCAAAAGGAGTGAGGAAAATCTAAATGGAATAATACCATTTTGATTGAGCAAGCCATCACAATTTTAGAAATTTTCCTTCCATTTCTGACTTGTAAAATTTTTCCCACTCATCTTTGCCAATGACCTTTTTGTATTTTTCAATATGCTATTTCCTTGAAGTTATTTGTTTCCTGCCTCGGAGCTTTAAAAATGAAAAGTGCTCACACTTCCCCTTCCTAGCAGGAGGCATACATGAGGTAGGCATGCCGGAGGTAGGCATGCCGGAGGTAGGCATGCAGGAGGTAGGTATGTAGAAGGTAGGCATGCAGGAGGTAGGCATGCAGGAGGTAGGCATGTGGGAAGGTAGGCATGCAGGACGTAGGCATGCAGGAGGTAGGCATGCAGGAGGTAGACATGCCGGAGGTAGGCATGCAGGAGGTAGGCATCCCGGAGGTAGGCATGCAGGAGGTAGACATGCAGGAGGTAGGTATGTAGAAGGTAGGCATGCATGCAGGTAGGCATGCATGCAGGAGGTAGGCATGTGAGAAGGTAGTCATGCAGGAGGTAGGCATGCAGGAGGTAGGCATGCGGGGAGGTAGCCATGCAGGAGGTAGGCATGCATGCAGGAGGTGGGCATGCGGGAGGTAGGCATGCAGAAGGTAGGCATGCATGCAGGAGGTAGGCATGCATGCAGGAGGTAGGCATGCAGAATGAGCAGCTGAACCCTGTACAATCAGCTTTATGGAGTGAGGCATCCATTTGTTCAGTATCCCATATTTGAAAATGTTTTAAAGAAAGGAAAGGGGAGCTGGAGGGATTGCTCATCAGTTATGAGTGCTTACTGCTCTTGCAGAGGATATGAATTTTGTTCCCAGCCCTCTCATTAAAGGCTCACAACTGCCTGTAACTGCATCTCCAGGAACTCTGATGCCCTCTTCTGGTTTTTATGCATGCAAGTGCACATGTCTGCATGTAGATACACACATGCACAGAATTGAAAATAAAAATAAAATCTCATTAAAAAGAAAAGGGGGGGGAATTATGGTTGAAACTTGTTATTAGGATTGATGGTAGAACTTACGGGCCAGATGCATTTCCAAACTCAGAGTTTTGGTGGAGACTGGTAGTTGGTTGAATTTTACTTTGTGCTTTGGCACGGTTTTCATCTAAATTACCAGAATTGCTAATGTTCGAAAGTGCCCAAGGATACCCGTTGGAAATCTCCCAGTTTTTAGCCAAGTGCTAGAGAAAGTAGTTTTCTATTTTCTCATTTTAGCTGTCACCTTCCCCCAAAACAATTACCTTGAGAATCCTGTCTGAGAGACTGGATGCTGCCGTTCTCTGACAGCCTCCCTCCGTCAGTGAAGACTCACTCGTGGCCTCTGTCTCCTTGGTATCACTGAAACTCCTGACAGGGCATGTCAGCGATGAGCTTCGTTCTGTGGCCCAGATAGACCCCTGAAGTCCTTGCAGCTGCCATGGCTGTGACCTCACCCCACCCTGTCGTGCACCCTCCCTCTTGACTGTGATTATTACTTCTTCTAGATTGTGTTTTTCCACACCAAGCTTAGCTTCAATCTGAAAGTTCACCAAATAACCTCTGAGAAGTTCTCACACATGCTCTAAGCCACGTTCAATCCACATGGACGACTTTGCCTTCATCTTTTCTCGAGGCACGCAAGTGTCTCTCCTGCTTGCCTGACATCCTCTTTCCATATATTCTAGTGTGATTCCCCCTCCCCCAAAGAATCACTTTTTTTTTTTTTTTTTTTTTTTTTTTTGGCCACACATGATCTTCTCCGTGTAATGATTTCCCTGCTTTTACTTTGAGCTGGATGTGATTTGGTGAGTTCCCCTTCCTCTGCAGGCACAGTCTCTTCTAGTGTTTGTCACCTGTCCCTAGAGCCTAGGCCTGACTCAGCACCGTCTTCTCTGACTGGGCTTATATTTTGCTGGCATTGTTTCCTATACCAGGGACTGAGTTTATTTTAATTCCGAGAAAACTTCCTTAGCACAGATTTCTATGAAAGCTTTCAAGATATAGATGCCACTCACTCTAATATCCTTAGTTGGCTTTATAAACTTCATGTTTCCTGTGAATCCTCTTTTTTCTGCCACTGCCTTTCCATGCACTGTTTTTATTTCAGGACTCAGTGTAGGTACCTTTCCACATGACTTTCTTCTGCTGTGCCTACTATTGTGGTAATATTCAAGGTTTTCTATAGTTGTTTGTTTCCAAATAAGTTTTTTAAAAATTAATTTTTTAACCTAATAAAAATATGATCACTTAAAGTAGCATTAAGTTATTGTTGGTATGACTTTAGGACGCTACTAACTATAATCAGAAATCCCAAATAAAATCTTTATCTGCATTCTTTTAAAAGTAAGGATTTATGTATAAAGAATGTGAGTTCGAGACCAGCCTGGTCTACAAGAGCTAGTTCCAGGACAGGCTCCAAAACCACAGAGAAACCCTGTCTCGAAAAACCAAAAAAAAAAAAAAGTGAATTTTTTTGCTGTTCATTTTACAGTACTTTTGTTTTGTCAGTGTACTGTATGTTCCTTATTCCTCTTTTTAAAACTAGTTGCTTCAAGTCCAATAAGTTTTATCTACTAGTATCGAACTTGTGAAGATTCATTTATAATGGTATTGCCTTGTGTTATTGTCTGTTTTACTTTTCAATAGGAATCAGAATAAAGGTCCTTAGGATCCATATGACTTAGTGACAATTCCATTTCGTTTTCAACATGGCATCATTCCTATTTACTTTATCTATGGAAATGTCATGGTCTTTTTTTTTTCTCTCATTTTGATAAAAAGGCCTGTGAGTTTTATGAAAAAAAAAAAAAAACAGTGAAAATTTGAGAAATAAGTTTTTTTCAAGACGGGTTTTTCTGTCTAGCTCTAACTGTCCTGGAACTCACATTATAGACCAGGCTAGCCTCACACTTAGTGATCAACCTGTCTCTGCCTCCCGAGTGTTGGAATTAAAGGCATGAACGAGCCACCACTGCCCAGCTATGATCTCTATTTTATAATGACTGCCAAGAAATTAATTTTAAAAACTGTATAGAAATGACTCTGTTAATATATTTCTTCAAATTAGTTTGAAATCAAAACTTGGATTCCTTAATTTTTCTTTTTATGGTGGTAGCAGAGTCTCCTAAATATTTCTATGCATGGGAATAATTACTGGGGTAATCTCTCCAAACACCACTGAATTCTGAAAAGTCCTTGAATTTTAAACACCTCCAGGACTTACAACAGTCCAGGAGATAAAATTAGTCTTTATGATTCAGAATATGTGCGGAATTCTACTTGAAGCAGTAAATTTTTTAGAATTCTTCTCTAACTTGTTTTCTGATGTGTATTTTTTTAGCTATAATTAGCTTTTATTCTTTTCATAATGAAGAAAGTTTTTTAAAAAATTGCAATTAGCCTTAAAGCCATCTTTTCCCTGAACAAAGGTCACAGTTGATTGCTCTGTAGAGTGTGGACATTTTCTAACATGCCCACAATTAAACGCCGTTGTGTAGAACGTGGACATTGTTTCACGTGCTCCGCAGATGCTGGGGCCTGGGACTCGTCCATCATCCCACCCGCTGTCTGTACGTGTAAGTGCATTTCATGTTATTTGTATATTGCATTCATCTCATGTTTTTGACATGTTACAATGTTTGTTCCATTTTTTCAGATCATTCCTTCATTCAGTTTCTGGATGCAAAAGAAACCCTAAGTGTTTCCTTCAACCAAACCTAAACACAAGGACAGAGGAACGCTGCTGGTCTGGGGTACTGTGTGATTTAAAACACTAGGCAGTACCTAGTGTCTTAAAATGGCACAGGAATCTCCCTTCATTGTTGCTTTCCCTCGAAACCAAAGATTTTCTACCTCTTGCCTTTTAAAGAAATTTGCTGGGGAAACGTGGTGATTTGGTTCCCGGGGACAGAAACAGGAACCCAGACCCTGCAGTCCTAGTCACCGGGGAAAATGACTTTTGAAGAAAGCCATCAAGTTAGACATCGAGGTGTTTCTTTCCAATTTTAGATGGAGATGTAACAGTTAACTTTGAAAATTCAAACGGGCACATGATACACATCGGAGAGGAATCTACCCAAGAGGAGAATGTAGGGAAACCCGAAGAAGGGGATGGCCCTGTGAGTGAGAAAACACCACCTCGGGAGGAAAAGGCAGAAGATAAGACAGGTAAAATAAAGAGAATCCCCTGTTATCTCCTGGAGCGCAGCCCAGCAGCCCAGTGTGGAGAATTAGAGAGAGCCTGCAGAGAGGAGGAGGCTTGCAAACTGGGAGAAGAGAGGAAAGGAAGCTAGGAAGGAGAGACAGGTGGCCTCCTCGGGTGGACACATCTGTTTGTAACTATGCTGTCTGCTTTGTTACAAACACATCTGTCTGTAACTATGCTTTTGTGTTAATAAGGAGAGATAATTAATGGCACTGACTGCAAGGACTGGACCCTTCAGGCTTTACATTTACCTGGAAATGACCTTTTCATAACTTTCTCTCAAGGTGGAAGACACAAGCAGTCAGAATGTTGTTTTCCCCTGTATCTGGTCCACGTGAGCTGCTCAACCTCTCTCAATCTAGACTCGCTCTCTGGCAGCAGGAAGTAACTGATACACCCGTCCACCCCAGTATTTTAAGGGCTAGACATTTCTAAGCTACGCCAAGGAGGAGTTCCCTAAGGATCCATGATTTCAATGCTACTTCCTCTGCTCTGTGATTTACATGTGTGCTTGGAAGTTTCAGAATATGCCATAGGCAATTATGCTGGTTCTCCCAGGATTCTCTTTAAAAACTCCCATTTCTTGAGTGTGCTCAGAATCAGATACTGTAAATACATGTCTAATGGGGTCCCCCAGAATGTTCATGAATATGGAGTGGCGGATCCATCACAACGCCACACAAGCCTTATACTTACAGAAACCCTGAGCTGATGAAACCTTTGTAACGTAGAATATTCATTAGCTTATACAAAACCCAACTTCTCCTCTTTCCAAATCCAAATTTCTCAAAAGAATATGTTGACTCCTTTATTCATTAAACTACTGGAGCCCCATGTTACGCAGAAGGCTCTGGACCATGCCAGGAACTGAGATGGAGAGGCCCCATCACTCCCAGTTTCCCTGGTTGACTTCACTGATCACTGAAGCTACTTCCTGCTTCAGCCTGCTTCTAGTTTGCTTGCTACATCCTATAGGGAAAGGTTTAGCCAAAAAGTTCTGAATAAATTTTTCCATGTGCATAGGCAAGGATCCTCAGGAAACATCTCCAGTATGTTCCCTAATTTCTATAAGGTTTGTCAAATTCCCTTGCATTGGGTAGATATTTTGAGAACTCCTAGAAAATTGCTTTAAGTGGATCTCTTCTCTTGATCCAGATCCTCCTGCAGGCAGGATGGAAAGAAGGCCTTTATTAAGTTCCCTGCTACTAGAAAGTCACCTTTGGAAGACTGAAGCCCTGTGGTCCTTTGCATATGCAGTAATCAGCCTTTAAAAGCTTCAATAAGCTATTAGAAATTTAATTTCCTCTCCTCGGAGATTAAGCATAGTTTTTATGGGACCTTCTTTAATTTCTCCCCAAAAAAATCTAGTTAAGTTTATTAACACTAATTATAGGACATTAGCTTATGCTTTTAATGATAATATTTCTGAAACATAACAAGAGAGCCACCAGATTATAAGGAGATGCAACGGCAAGGAGTGAGTTTGGTTGGGTAGAGAACAGATACCTGTTTTTATTTTCTTCCATTCCAGCTCCCCTGTCTCAACAACCTGTTAAATGTCTTATCAATCTGTGGTTTGTCCCTAGTCCCTGTGGGTGTCATTGCCACTCAGTGACTGTCCAGACTAGAAAGGAAAAATGTTTCTCATATCAGCATGATAGAGCATTGCTGACAGTTTTATGTTAGTTAAACTGGCAGGTCTTGGTGTTCTACAGAAAAGATGGCAGATCCGATAGGTCAAGGAATGGCTGAGACAGGGTTTGTTTTTGTATCCCTCAAATTAGTACATTGAGTTCTTTCTAGTCAAGTAAGTTCCATGATAGCATCAGTACACGAGCGGAAGGAGATGCCGGGAGTGCTGGTGTGCCACCATGCGGCTGCTGGAGCTCCCTCTTAGGTAGACAGATCCCACGTGGCGCTGTGCCATGAGCCGAGAGAAGTACTGAGAATGGGAGGCATTTCCTGAAGCTAAAAAGATTATCACTCATGAGTAATAACACAGAGAATAAGACTAAATAGAAGTGCTTATCGATAAAGATATGAATTACTTCTTACTTCTTTAGTCCTATATCTTTTAGTTTTTAAAAAAGAAAAGAAAAAAAACAGCCTGATTCACTTTTGCCTCTGTCTAAGAAAATATTCAAAAGCAAAGCACATGTCAGGTGCTATCCACCCCCTGGCTCCGTGGATGGGTTTGGTTTAGGCTATGAGGGTATTTCTGGGATTCTGAAGGAACCTGATTCTACAGTTGGTATAGCAACCTTGGGCCTTTTTGGCAACACTAACCTTCTTCCTCAACATCTTCTAGGTTCTTATTCTCCTGCTATTCTTTCTCAGTAGATGTCCTTAGAAATTTGAGACACAAAACCAGATCTACACTCTGTTCCAATCTAACCACATGAAATCTGCCAGTTTTTCAGCATTGTTTCCATGGTATGATTAGGAAAGGCCTTTGGTGAAGGAACACTGATCAACACTTGCTTGTTCCATAAACAGCACTGCAAGAGTAGCCTGAGTAAAACTCTAGCAGAGGACACAGAGAGAATAAAGAGTGGCCTCTGTCCAAAAGCAGATCCCCCAAAGAGAACAGGTGGCTCAGAGGCAATAGTCAGGAAGCTCTGAGCAGGCTGCGGTACCAAAGCCAGGGAACTCTCAGCGGAGACCAGAGCTGTTTCCCTGTGCCACATCTTTCCAAACAAAATCCTAGGGGAGAAGACAGGCAGGTGAGAGAGAGGAGCTGGACCCGAAGTGCATCCCAGACCAGGTGCAGGACACACATAGTCCTGGATTGCTCTAACACTGGACCTCAGCCCTACACATGGATGAGAGAGCCAAGTGGAGTGGACAGCGTGTTCTCCAGACTCCTATCGGGAAGCCAGAATGAACAGACAGCTCTCATAACATCCCCTTAAAAGGACAATGTTCCATTACTCCACCACCAATTTGCACAAAGCCTTTGAATCGTATGTTCACAGTCAAAATAGAACCTAATTCCTTACCACCCACACACAAGTAAAGAGTGTTTTCTACCGATTGCCAATACTATCAGCCAGTCCCATTCATTGAACAGACGTAACCTTTAAGGCATTGCATTCGATTAGGTACAGATTTCCAGATAGAAGACAATTTTAATCCAGTTAGAAAAACCTACTCTTTGTGTATTCACCTGAGCACACACAACTTACCCCAAGGTTGTAAGTGGCAGGCACTGACAGAGCCCTGTCATGGCAGAGTTGGGAGGCTAAGGAGGAATGCTCCATAGTTTCCATAGAACTGCTCATGCTTGTGTGGGGTGTAGAAATCGGCACTTTTAGCTGTCAGAGAGCTAGTCCACCTTTTCCTCCCAAGCACAAAGTTGGACTGTTTGGGAGTAGTTTATTATTTATGCTAGGGGTTGAGCTTGGGGTCTCATACTGGCTAACTAAATGTTCTGCAACACTAAGCATCAAGCAGAAAGACACAAAATGTCCCATTGGGCTCAGAAATATTTCAACAACAATCAAGACCTTAAGTGCTACACCAACCAGCACTCTCTAGGGGACTGGGCTTGATCTCCATGCAAGGCCATGTGATAGAAACCGAAGTCACAGAGATATGATAAAGAGTAGTCTTCTGGGGCTTGGGGTGTGGCTCAGTGGGTAAGGTATCTGCTACACAAAGAAGAGGATCTGAATTAGGACCCTCAGCCTAAAACCAGGTATGGTATTGCACTTCTGTGTTCTAGCATGGGGTGGAGGGTGTGCAAGGACAGGAGGATCTCTGGACCCCTGATTCATACCTGGTGGACTGGAGGCAGCGCTGTATGTTGAAGGATAAGGTTCCCACCTGACCAGAAAAGCAGAATTACAAATTTGCCCCTCAGAGATGTGAGGTGGCTGGACTATAAGGCCGCATCCATGCAGAGGGAGAAGAGGTCAATCTGGACAGCCACACTTGGTGAAGGTCAGGGCTAGGGCAAGGACAAGGACAAGGAAGAACTTTACAATATGAAGGTTTTATTGATTAACTTCTGTAACTGAAATCACTATCTCAGCTAGACACATGGTTTGATTAACAGAGGGTGGGATTTAAAAGGGGGAAGTCCCTCCCTTGATGGCTACTAGGATAAGAAACAAAACAGAAGAAATGGTAACGGCATATGACATATGTCATGGCCTTCTTGGTCACTAGGAAAGACCTGGTCAGTAAAGGCTGACTAGGGTTGTCACCGTCTTTAGTTTTGATTGTGCTCCATTTTAAAAGAGATACCACTTAGTTCTTTGGACTGGAGCCGTATTCTAATTTATTTCAGTCACGATTGCAAATAATAGAGACGTGGGGATGCAATCCACTGTCAGCATCCCCAGAGCAAAGCCTGCTCCCCCTCCAGCTCTCGTGGGGCCTCCCTTCTTCTGTACAACTTCTGTCTGTAAAATCTCTGCTCTGTCTTTTCGAAACTATTATGGAAGTGTGCCAGATAAGACATAGCGAGCGTTTTTTTATCCTGCACTCTGTGCGTCTACAGCCATGGCTCAGATCACTGTAGAAACTGAAGCTGCCATGCCCCGCTGGGAGAACGAGAAAGCACACTGATGATAGAAGTGACTGCCAAGTGCATTGTGTCGAAAGCCCCCAGAGTCTCCCAGAGCGTAGCACATACGTGGTTGTTTTGGCCGCACTAAGACTTCTGGTTGATGGGGGGTGAAGTTTTAAAGATAACAAGAAGTGCAGTCATTACTGCGGTTGTCGGTCTCACCTGTGGCGGTGTGTCCATTGCTTTCATCTGTCACTCTGGAGGGTCCTCCACTTTTCCTATGTTGGTGTAGTGTTCCGCTTAACACTCATTGCCCATGTTTTCATACGGCAACAGCAGAGTGCAGGCTGGAATAAGGGTGTTGGCTAGCGCACATAGACACTAATCCTTCATGGAACATCATCGTAGTAAGTTGTGTCGCCTTTTATCAAAGGACTGATCGATGGGCCCAGAGAACCCTCCCCAGTCTGTCTTTTAGTTTTTGTTTTGCCTCCAAACTTTGCTTCCTCCAGTGCAAACACTGTCTGGCTCCCAAATGTCATAAAGCCACCTGTATGTGTCACTCCTGCCATGTCGTGCCTCTTGCTTTCCTATGGTGTGTGTCTGTATCAGTCTGCTCTGTTCACTTTCTCATTTGTAGAGAACCCTGAAATCCACTCTGAAACACCGGCTGCTCCTGCTCTACCTCCTGCAGCTCCTCCTAAGCCTAAACCCAAACCTAAACCCAAAAAATCTCCTGTGCCTCCCAAAGGGGCCACTGCTGGGGCCAGCCACAAAGGGGATGAAGTGCCTCCTAATAGAAAAAATGTCAAGGCTCCCAGTAAGCAGGCCCCAACCCCTCCACCCAAGCCAACAAGCCGAAACACTGCCCGGGAGGCTGGTGAGTATGCCCTAGTGCATAATTGGGTAGAGTTCAGCATGTTGGGTTCTGGGATGGGGCTGTAGCTTCTTCCAGGAGTGTGGTTTTTTTTTCTTGTCTCAGGGCACAATACCAGTGAGTCACAAGAATGTCTCAGAGACCCCCCAGTAGTTATCTCCTAAGAAAAGTTAACGTTGTTGTCTTTGGAGTAACTGTGAACTGTTAGTCTTGGTTTCCTCAATCAGTGTATAAGACTCACTCCTTTAGTGTGCCTGGGAGTGAGGCTGACCCGGTGAACCAGTATCCAAACCTGCCCATCAGAGTTTGTGGTGACCTGTTACTGTTCCTCTTTTAACATACACTAGACTCTCATGTTAAAATGTGACAGGGGTCTTTGGCAGGTTTGCCGGATCATAAAGTCTTCACTTTGCAACATCCATAGTCGTCTGTCCTCTGATAAATGGCAAAGGTTCATTATTATACATGGTCAACCTGTTTCCTACTCCACTTAACATCATTTTGATGGATTTGATTTGATGCTCGGTAATACCCCCTCACTACTCCGGCAGACCAACAAGTCAAAGTGTCCTAGTGCATTGCGATTACATGTTGCCATTACAAATCGTGACTGGACATTTGCAACGTCTTATGTTTCTCAACCTTACAAGCTTAATGCGAAGTGCTGCTTCCATTATCTCATAGAATCATGATGCCGGCTGTCTATGTCATCCGTCTTTAACACCACTCAGAATTCCCATGCTCGATGGCGTTTCCCCATTCGTGTGTGCATACAGTTCTTTTGTATTGTAGCACATCTTATCTCCCTTAACCTCGGCAGCAGCTTTCCAGAAATTAACTGCAAGGATTTGCCTTGGCGTTGATCTTTTTTCTCTTGTAATTTATACTCGTCATACTGAAATTCAAAGACTGGTTTAGTTGGCAGTGTAGCAGCTCTCTGAGTGCAAGTAGACCTCTCCCCGGGTTCCTCTCTTCTGCGCTTTGATCGTTGGTCCACAGGCCTATTCTAATCTCTCTGAAGTGAAATGTCCCAGAACGATGAGCCAGCGGCGCCTAAAGGTCATTTCCTTGGGGACTCAGTGGCTTTTCCTATTGGTGCCTGTATGTCCCCCACGGCCTTGCGAAGCCTAGCAGTGGTGTGTGAAATAAGACAGGCGCGGAGCTACTCAGTAAGGAGAATTCCCAGACCATCACTTTGTCTTTGGGAATTAAGAGCCTGTCTTGAATACACTTCCTCCCTCACTCCTTCTCTAGGTGGTGTGAGCTCACTGTAGACTCAGCTGGGAAGAAAGCTGGGAATGAACACAAAAGCTGGACACAGCATTCATGACAGATCTTGATATATATATATATTATATATATGTTGATATAAATATTATATATATATAATATTTTTTCTTGAAAATTTAAAATATGCTTTTGATGTCCCTAAGAGGATAAGCTAGAGAGCTGTCATCTGTCCTTTGTATTAAGGCAAAATGTGCAGGGCTCTTCCTATTCCTATGAATGTGACCGCTTCTGGGACTGTCACCCAGAAGCAAGGGCTGCATTGAGGTCCCTCGGTTTTCCATTACATTTCTTACATTCTGAAAACAGCCGTCACCTAATTTTCCCTCTGAGTGTAGATGCCTTGGTGAACCACGTTTTAGTCTAGAACATCCTTGGTTTTGCCAGGATTCTGTTCTTCTCATTGTTGCTATTAACAAACATTTTTAACACAGAGGTAAAGCTTCCTTTTTAACCAAGGTTATTGTCAACAAACCCCCTACTGTCAGAAGAGACTTTAAAAGCAAAGGTTATACGTTGCCCCTTGTCTCTTTACTATCAACAAAAGGCTGAGGTATAGGTTTCAAACCTAACAAATATGGCTTGAATAGTCACTCCAGGCACTGGGGAAAAAATTTTTTTCTCTAAAGTAGGATGGCATTAAATACTTTCTGTCAAAAAATAAAAAGTTTCAAAAATATTAAAATTGATACCTTTAGAATGGATATGAAAAAGGGATCTATTTAACTTAAGAAAAACAGTTGAACGTGTTTAAACATAAAATGCTTCGTGTCTTTGTTATTTAAAAATCAATTTAGAGTGGGATTAATTTTTTTTTAGTACGGTTAATGAGTTTAACTTGTAATCAGAGAAAGATTATCAGGTTCATTAAGCCTACAGACAAGCCCAGATTTGGCAAAGGGGAAATCCAGCTGTTGTGTGTGTCTAAGATAGTAATTACCCTAACTAGACTCCTTGTAAGCCTGAATCTTGTCATTAAGTAAGGCTGGCTTCTTTACATGTCAAAATTAATGAAGTCATATGTCTCATTGTCTGTTCCTCTGTTTGTTCTTTATTTCAACTTTCTCATTGGCATCAATAAAGTTGCCTCCAGAGGTAAGTCACTGTGATACCTGTGTGCAGAATGGGAAGGCCTTCCCTGGTGTATTAACAAGCATTTTTTGATAGTTGTGTGAAAGGAACTTTAGCCCCCTCTTAGGAAAGGAAGAATATGTAACATCGTAATAGAAGTAATATTCAGAGAAAATGCAGATCGGAAAAGCCATGAAACAAATTAATATTCACATGGGATTTTAAATGGATTTCCTAGGGTGACATAAAGAAAAATTAAAATATATACATGTAATTAAAAGAAAAAAGAAAGACTACCTAACTTGTTTTCCTGGAAGTTGCTTAGTTGACGTCAGCTCTATCCAGAAGTAAGCAAAGGCCCTGCTCGGGTAGGCCTTTGAAGGCTTGCCTAGAACAGTAGAAAGTAAAAGTGACTGGGTGGCCAGCGTGGATGGGATTGGAAATTCTGGAAAAGTTGAAGTGTGTGTGCTCTCGCAGCTTCTCAGGAGGAAGAAGCAAGCGAACCATTTGAGTCCAGGAGCTCAAACAAACCAGGTTGCAGAGGAAGACCCTCTAGAGGGCTAAGCCTGAGGAACCACACAGGAATAGATATACACATAGACCACACACACACACACACACACACACACACACACACACACACGTGCTCGGAGTGACATTCTTCCTCTTCAGATTATTCAGGCTCCACCCATGCAGATATTTTTTTAAAACCACAGCAAACATTTTTTCCTTGTGGTTTGGTGTTTTGAATGGGGGGGGGTCTTTTTCTGCTGTGACTGTCCCCTCTCTGTTTCCCCTCATGACAGCAGGTGGAAGTGTAGGCCAGCAGGACAGACTTCCTTCCCTGGAGTTTTGGGAACAGTTGCCTTGGAATTACCACTTGGAAGGTAGTGGGGTAAATGAATTTACTTGTGACCCAGAAAGAGGCTGGCAATATATACCCTACTTCTTCTGAATATGGGTCCTCTCTCCATCCCCAGAAAGAAACAAGAAGGAATGTCATTGGGAAGGTCCCGTGTATGTCCTATAGTTAGCTTGCTCGTCTTGGCCATCTCCTTGCTAGGACCAAGGTCTGTGTCCTGTTTTGCTGCTTCTGGTGAAGACGGAGGAGAGAGACAAGGGCTTCTTGCCCTTTACTTTTCTTGAATGTCACTGTTCCTTCTCTGAGAGGCTGGGAGGAGACAGTAAACAAGACCACTATGATTACTGACCAATTTTCTTAACATTCCTTGACTTGATGCATTTTAAAGGGAGCATTTCAAATGTCATTGACAATTGCAACTTTGTCGCTTAAAGAGTGTTGTATTTTTTGATTTTTAATGCAAAACTTTCTCTGTTTTTAGCTGGTTCTTCTCATCCGAAGAAAACAACTGGCCCCAAAGCATCTGCCTCAGCATCTGCTTCCTCCACCTCCTCTCGTCCTAAAGTGTCCAAGGAGTCAGTTGCTAGCAAAATGGGCATAGTGGGGACCACAAAGGGCAAGAAAAAGTTTGGCAAGCAGACGGCAGTGTCCCGACTGTCCTCCGACACCACCACTGCTGAGACATCTAGTCTTAAAGGGGAGCCCTCAGACGCTGGGCTAGAGAGTCTCAAACAGGAGGCAGCTGCTGGAGCTGAGGAGCAAGCCACAGGCAAATCCAAGGCGACCATCCTTCCACATCCTGTGGCACCACTGCCCTCCCCATCTGCCCTGCCTCTGCCACTTGAGGATCAGGGCATTGTTGCCTTGGACACCGCCATGGTCCTAGTCAGTGATGGACATACCCTGCCCATCTCTGCCTTAGACCCGAGTCAGCTCCTTTGGACTGAAGAGCCGACAAGCAGAACCACTCCGTATTCAAGCGCTGACTTAACTGGTAGCAGAGAACACGCACAGTGGTGAGTTGGGACACAGTCTAAGTAGCACAGGCTACTCGAATATTCTCTTGGAATAAAAGAATATAGTCTGCTCCTGTCTGTATTAAATGTGCTGAATGTTAGGTGACCACACCCGTGGTCTCACCAGGTGGAATTCCCATAGGCTGTGTGGAACATCACAGCGATGATGCTAACAGATATACTTTGGCCCCGTGCGCCTTCCAAGGATGCTTTGAGCCTCTCTCAACATAGATCATCATTCTTTTTCTTTTACCTAGACATTTTCCTTTTTTCCCCTCTGGTCCTTGTTTTAAACCTATATTATTTGGTCCCAGATCACTCATCCATGCTTGCTTAGCTTCATCTCCCTGTGACAGCCTAGCTTTCTTCCCCAGGAAAATTAAGACCAACAGTAAAGAACTCTTTAAAATTCTGGATCTACTCATATCAAGAGTAAAGTGACCTCTTCCTCGCTAATTCTCCACTGAATCCTAGTTTCTTCTGTGACATCTTCTAATACGTATTAACAGGACTGGTAGCTTATTTAGAGGAGTTGTCCTATACATTCTGTAGAACTAGACAGCATGTCTTACTTATTCCCGTGTCCCGAGCAGCCAGTGTAGAGTGTGACGAGCTGTAGGCAGTCAGTGCGTACTCACTGAATTGTCATGTGACAGTGAGAACGTGTGAGCCAAGGTCAGCCTTTGTCAGTGACGTGCTGAAGGTGAGCGGCTTTGGACGATGGAGTTCATAGAGTCTAAAGAAGGCCCAACAGTGGTTGCATCATCTTAGTTTTGTTTGGGAAGATAACAAAATACAACGGTTAGAACTCAGTCTAATAAAGAACTAGGTCTTGCCCTTTATGGGCTCGTGGCCCATCGTTCTTCAGCTGCCTGGAGCTCATTGGCTCCTTTTCTGATGCCCCTCAAAAAAATCCTATAAATATGCTATTGAGGTTGAGGTAGGCAAGTTAGACCTCCTGCCCCATAGTTACGTAGGACGAACTAGCAGAGTATATAATAGGTGCAATTACCAATCATGCAATTATCATTTCTGTCTAGGAAAGACTCAGATCTAAAGTCAAACCTATTTCCTGTTTCCCCTTTTTATCATTTGAAGGAAAATTTAGGGATGATCGATAAATATCAAATTACAAACTATTTGCCTGGCATTTTAGTAAAAGCTAGAAGAGACAGAAAATATTGAGATAAATGATATGTTATCTGTTTGTTTGGATTTTTTTAAATTTTTTTGTTTTTTGTTTTTTCCAAGACAGGGTTTCTTTGTGTGGTCCTGGCTGTCCTGTAACTAGCTCTGTAGACCTGGTGGGGTTAAAGGCGTGCACCACCACCGCCCGATTTTGATAGACTATCTTTATTGGTCTGTTTGGTGAAGCTGTCACGGACCACCTGAAAGAGGGTAATTTATAATGAAAGTACATGTATAAGCTCAAAATTCTAGAGGCTCAGAAGTCTAAATCAAACCAGCATTTAATGAAGAAGTTCTTGCTGCAGAAGATGGCAGGGCCAAGAGAGCAAGACAGCTCACCTTGTCCCAGGAGGCCTTTCTGTAATGGAGTTCCTCTCTTCATTATGGCTTTGCCCTCAGGAGGCCTTGCCTTTCAGTGCTAGCGCATCGAAGATGAAGTTCCCAAGACTTGAATTCCAAGGAACACGTCCATACCCTTAGCCCAGTGTCCTCACTGCTTCCAGCACACAGCACACCTTCCTCTGGTTGTAGTGTTGCTCAGCACTTCAAACTGAACTTTTTCTCTTTCAGGGTGTGATGGGGGGGGGGGGGGTTGTTTGTTCTGTGTTGGACAAGGCTGTAAACACCAAAGGCATAATTGTGAGCCAGACAAGCTAGTTCCAAAGAGTCGATTTTAATCAATCAGCATGCTCGGGATGTGTGTGTTTAGGACAAGGTTTCAGTTTCAGAAAGTGGATGTTGTATATGGGTCTGTTGTTCACTATGCAAAAAGGAAGGCAGCTTTGGGTAGCTGTACGTGTTTGGAGAGCCATTCGTATCCACCGCCAACCTGACTCTCCTCAGTTCATTTCCATGGTCATTTAGGGACTGTATTAATTACGCTAAGCACCACACTTTCTACTAGGACCTTAATGCCTTAGTTACCCCAGGTACATGGAGAATTTTTAAATAAAGAAATAAATGTAAGTTTTCTATTTCCAGCGATACCCCGAGTAATGGGAATAAGCTTGGGTCTCTTTGGACATTGAAGGTGTATATCATATATCTTCCCATCAGCGAGGGTCACTCTCAGAGTTTCCGAGAAGAGCTCGTTTTCTTCTTAGTATATTTTTAAAATGCAAAGAGTGACTTTATAATGCATTCTTCAAGGGTAGTTTGTGTTTGCTGTTGACTTAATGAGCCTAGAAAATGCAGTGTCTCAGATTTTCTCCCAAATTCTCCCTCTTTCAAGTGGAATTTGAGTTAGGGTTTTTGGCTCTCACTCCCTTGCTTTCCTTAGAACTTTTCCTCGGTTATATTTAGTTACCCAATGTGTGAAAACTCTGTCATAGTATGAAAAGCCTTCTGTTTGGGATACAAATATCAAAACTTGAAATAGGGCTAGTGGTTGTATTTAAAAATGCCCACCTCTCCTCCTATCTCACAGGCTGCTGTTCAGTATGTTTTTTTTTTATTCATTTACAGCTCTATCCATAACACAGGCATCTCTGTAGTGTGGGGCAGAAAAAAATTCAACCCACTTGAAGTCATATTTAAAAATGACTTGTTGAGTCCCCTCTACAAAAATTTATGTAATGTTCAATGTTGTCCAGTGTTCTCAGGAACCATAAGGGTGGAGGTGTGAGCTGACCAATGCAGACGTGGAGCACAGTTATTATTAACTAATTATAATAATCTCATAATATAACATTTAGTAAGTAGACTAGCAGTCACAGTCTGGATCCCAGACTGCACTGGCCAGGTTGGGTGGGCTACTTACTTACAGCCTTTCTTGGACCCATGTTGTAAATTCTCTAACCACCTTGTAGTTTTAAATAGTTATGAGCTGTGAATAAATGCTGCCGAACTCTGCACACTGCAGAATACTATACCAATAGCGAGATCAACATAATTAACACAGTCAATTAGTGACTAACAGGATTGAGCCCTGAAGTACCTTGTTTTGCTATAAGCAGATGCTGTTATTAATTGACAAACTTTTAAACATACTGTAGTTGTCCATAGTGACAGCATCCTCAAAATAGATTCGCTTTCTGCAGCAATCGACTAATAATCTGGACCACGGAAAAGTTTGTCCATGAAAAGACATTTTCATTTCTTTCCAATGGCACTTCACTCTGTGTTGTCTCCAAAAAAGTGAACACAGAATTACCATATGATTCAGCAATCTCCTTCTGTGCTTATAGTCAAGAGAATTGAAATTGGGGAAGTAGATTTGTATACTAGAGTGTGTAGAGTTAATATACAGTAACCAAAAGGCAGTAGCAGCCCAACTGGGCATTGGCTGATGAATGAATAAACGAAGTGTGGCATATGCACACAATGTCATATCATCCAGCCCCCCACAGGAAGAAATTCTGCCGCTGCTAGGACGTAGGCGTCCTTGACATCGCACTAAGTGAAATAAGTCAAACCAGAAGTTTGTATAATTACCTTTACGTGAGCCTTCATAAAACAGTCAGCATCACAGACACAGAGAGCATAGTGTGTGGGGTTATTAGCTCATGGGGACACAGCTTCATTTCAGAAAGATGAAAAGGTTCTGGAGTTGCATGGTGATAATTTATACAGCAACATGAATGTCCTTAATGACACAGAACGGTACCCTTAAAATTGTTAAGATGGGAGATTTTGGGTGATGTTGATGTCACATAATTAAAAATGAGATTTCAGGGTCTAGAGAGACAGCTCGGTAGGCAAAGGACCCTAAGTCGATCCTAGCTCCCATGTAAAAGCAAGGCATAGGGGTGCACGTATGTAGCGCCAGGGTCGGGATAGGAAGGCAGCAGTGACAGGCAGATCCCAGGAGCTTGCTGGCCCATCAGTCTAGCTGGGATGCTAAATTCCAGGGTCAATGAGAGATCCTATCTCAAAATTTAAGAGTGATAGAGGGCCTGGCGGTGGTGGCGCACGCCTTTAATCCCAGCACTCGGGAGGCAGAGGCAGGCGGATCTCTGTGAGTTCGAGACCAGCCTGGTCTACAGAGCTAGTTCCAGGACAGGCTCCAAAGCCACAGAGAAACCCTGTCTCGAAAAACCAAAAAAAAAAAAAAAAAAAGAGTGATAGAGGAAGGTGTTCAAAATTAGTGAACCCCCCCACACACACACACACTCAAAGATTTCATATACCCTTTTGAGAACAACTTAGGCTGTTGGGTTCTTTCTGAGTTAAAAAAAAAAAAAGTAGAGTCTTGGAAGTGCCTGGGCCTCTAATCATAGAACCAGCTTTAAATGCCTTTTGTTCTAATGAAGTTTGCCTGTGTGCAACAATCAAAACATGTTCATGTGTGTTGTTGTTTGTCTTGGGGAAGGGTTGAGGTTGGTTTTTAATTTTTTTTTTTAGTCTGTGAAAACACCAAATTTGAATTCATCTATTTATATCACAAAGTATTTGAGAGGTCTTCTGTATCTTACAATAATGATTACATTATTTTTGAAATTAAGTATTTTTGTCATCCCACGCAACTTCATTAGTCTTTGAAGATGGGTAAGCCTTGTAGAAACCTTTACCCAACTGAACGACAAAGCATCATTGCCCCTCCCCCAGTCTACTGCCCTTCTTTTAAAGCCTCCATCTAAGACTTTGCGTCTTAGGCGTCACTCTAGTCCTATAAGAGGTGGTCTTGTTCATGAAGAAATGCAAGCACAGAGAGGATCAAGGAATTTTTGCCTGTTGACACACTGGCTGGAAAGAAAACAGGATTTATTCTAATATTAATAAGAGATGTGTGTTCCTGTGTGACACCCTTCTGGGTGCTGGGATGAAGAACTCTCTGAAGCCTGTGTGTCAAAGGCATGGTAGGAGTCAGAAGGCAGACAAATCAGGGATGCTGAGCTCTGCACTGGGTCACCATGAGAGCAGAGGAATGAGGCGAGGCGAGCAAGTCAACTAAATGATCCAGAAACATCCGTGGAGGGGCTGAGGCTTTATGTTTAGACTTGAAGAGCACAAAAGAAGTGTAGGCAGAGCCCCAGGAATTTGCTTGTCCCTGCCTCCCCACACTGAGGTTATAAGCAAGCACTACCACAGCTATATTTTTTTGTCATGTGAGCTCTGGGAATTGAAAGCTCAGGTATCCCAGCTTGTGCAGCGAACACTTTACTAAGTGAGCTGTTTCTCCAGCAGCCCTAACCCACTACTGTCTCCTCTACTGCCCCGTGATTCATGGATGAATCGGTTCACAAAGTCCAGTTTCACTCTGTTCATTTGCAGGATGTGTTAGAGAACATCTAGTAATACCTTTATGTTCTGCAAATGCAAAATCTAAAACCTCAACAATTAAGTAATGCCCCAGAGAACGTCCGTGTTAGTGATGTTGGATGACTGTCCCCTGTTGCATTTCTCCTTTTCCCAGCATGAAGGATGTTCATGATGCTAGCATGCTTCTTGTGGTGTTGGTGTCCATAAGGATCGCTCTGGACTTCACATTACCCTCTGCTTTATTGCTCTTCATAGCTTTGCAACCAAAGATGAGCTGGGAAAGGCTGGACCTCAGTTGCTGACCCCCGGGCAGGCGGGAGACTCTTCAGAATCCTTCAGTGCCCCAGAGGGTGAGACCCCAAGAGAGTACCAATCCAACGACTCTGACTCAGATGGACCCATCTTGTACACCGATGATGATGAGGAAGAGGATGATGATGATGACGGCAGTGGAGAAAGTAAGAATATTTCCAAGAAGTAGAGCAGCAGGTGGCGTACAGAGAGACACCTACTGCGCAGTGCAAAATCTCCTTAGCCACCGCCCAACATTTTCTTCCCTTCACCTTCTTCTCTCGAATTAAAAATATATTTATCCTAGCTAAAAAGTAAAAGCAGTCTTGGAGAATAGCATAATTCCACGAGTTCAATTCCCAGTACTGAAAAAAAAAGTGTGCCCATCCCAAAGTTTAGTTCATGATGACAGATTTTGCCAGAAGAACATACAACATAGGTGTGCCACACCCTTGACAATGAGTTAGACTGACGATTTGTCTTGATACAAACAGTCTAAGCTTTTTAAGAACAGTGGTTTTTCTCATGAAAGACAAAGGTGCCCATCCCTCTAGGGACCTGCTCTTGAAGAAAGAGTATCGGCCAGGGTGGGGCTTCCTTGGCTTGCTGGAAGTGTTAGACATTTTCACTCATTTTATACTGTGGCTTAAAGAGAGATGGGAGGGGAATGAGTCGAGAATGACAAACGCTTGGTTGGAGTTGAAAATGCTTGCTTGTCCACCGTTGCAAAGACAGGGTGCCTTCTAGAAAGGAAGGATCCGAAAGATGAATCAAAGCCGTGACTGTGTCTAATTAGATGACTAGAATGTGCTGTTAAAATGTTGTGGTTTTTAGTTTTTGTTTTTTGTTTTTAACTTAGGAGGAGCGTGACTTGGCAGAATTTCACTGTGGGGTTGGATTTACAGATGATTAAAAGTTATCAGTGTATTAATGACTCAGCAGAAATTTGTTAGGTTTCCTCCCCTTAGCACCCACCTGATAGCTACTGCCTGCTGGGGGCTTAAGGATGCCTGGGTGACTGAGGGTTAAAGCATTTGTGTATAGTGTAGGCTTCTTGCCAGCACGACGCCTGGCTGGGGGGAAAGGGGATGACAAGGATTAACTGTACAAAATAAGGAGCGAGGATAAGCTCTTGACTTGAAAAGAAAGCAAAAGCCTTGTGCAATCACAGATTTCCGTGATCCACCAAATCAGCAGAATAAACCTCCTCGAGCTCCGTCCAGATGATGAGGTGCTGTTTCCAAGCGTGTTCATGCTATCTTGGGTTTTTTTTTTTTTTTCCAGAACATTTTTTTAAAAATCCTTTAGTTCTTTTTCAAAAACGAATTATCTCCAACTCAAAATCCCGCCCCCCCCCCCACACCCTTGAACTGATTAAGCTTCCCCTCTTGCACGCAAGTAAAGAATTTGACTCAGGTCCTGTTAAAGTTCAGCCACGTGTAACCAAAGCCCTGCTAGGTTAAAAACTGACGTACCTGTATTGCTGCCCCTTCCCAATCCTCAGGTGCTTTGGCAAGTAAGATACGCCGAAGGGACACTCTTGCCATCAAACTTGGCAATAGACCATCCAAGAAAGAACTGGAGGACAAAAACATCCTGCAGCGAACATCTGAAGAAGAAAGGCAAGAAATAAGACAGCAGATTGGGACCAACCTGGTCAGGTACTTGCTGGCGCATGAGTGCAGAAGTGACTGAGTCTCATCATTGTTTCAAAGTCTCCCGCTTGCCTGAGGGCTTGGTGAATTCCCCAGGTTCAGGTGCTTCTGGCCCATCCAGTCCTGTAAACTTGATCTCAGTTTGGGAACTACTCAAAGGATTTGCCCTTTGGTCAGTTAGCCAGTAGCTTTGAGATCTCCAGAACGTAGCTCAGGAGTCAACAGACTTTTCCAAAAACTGATCCGTTACGAAGTCCTAAGTTTTGATGACCAGCTGTTCTCTGTTGTAGTTATCCAACCCGGCCATTACATATAAGAAGATGTTAACAACATAGAAATAAATGAACGTGAAAGCGCTTCGGTAAAATGCATTTACCGAAAGGGGCGGCATGGGGGAGTCTGGTGCACAGTCCACAACTTAGCCAGCCTCCTCTTCTAATCCGAGGACTTACTGAGATTTATGTGAAAACTATGAGGTTCCATCCTCTGGGCTGTGAGACTGGAGAAATACCAAGCCTCAGTGGCCTATCTTTGTCCTGGTCAGATAAGCATAGCCCCCTGTCCAGATGCAGGCCATTAGCTTAGAATGGGTGGGTCATTGGGCATCACTCCTCATGCCCTGCTGTCCTCGTGTGCTGTGGGTCTTCTGTTTTGACCACAAGTGGCTTCAAAAGTCCATTTAAGTAAGATTTTTAATAGTGGTTAATTCTTGAAGGAACTGTTTTTGATGCCAACATAAGCACCCTCGAGTGTCACTATTTCCTTCCGCTGGTTTCTCTCACTCTGCACACCTGTATCCTTGGGAGAAGGGCACCAGATCAGGGTGTGAAGATGGGAGGAAGTTGTTGCCCTTGCTTAGAAACCAGAGCCTTTCGTGATCTCTGTAGGAGGATTGTGCAGGGCTGCTAGGGAGTGTTTGCTCTTCTCCTCAAGGGAGAGAATCTCCAAGGCCCTTCTCTGCTAAAAGGGAGACTTTCCGGGGCAGCAGCTGTGTCTCCTAGCTGAAGGAAAGGCTCACCTCCCTAAGAAATCCAGGAGGAGGCCTGGGGGTGTGGTGTCCCCAGCTTTTGCAACTCCCACTAAGACTCCAAAAGGAGTCCTGAGTAGTTTGCCAAGGGGCTCATCACTAGAGTGTTTTCACCTCCGCCCTAAGCCTGAACCATTTCCTGCCTCAGGAAAGAGCTAGCAGAAGTCAGAGGAACTTCATGTCAAATTTGTCTTCTTAACAAGTAAAAGCAGGGGCCTCTCTGAGGTCTGGAAAGATGAAGGGACTCTCTGAAAACTGCAGTTCCTTAGAACAGAAGTGGGTTAGGATCAGTGTTCAGCTATGATGGATTTCTTTTATACCATCTCCTATACACCACATGCAGGCGGATACGTGACAAATGTGTTTTAATATTTTATTGCTTTTGTTTATGTTTTGGTGTGAAATTTTTTAATCATAGAAAAATAATGCATATAAAATGGTAGCAAAACAAGGGAAACTCCTTAAATGCAAAGAATATTAGTATAGTTTATCATAGTAAAGGATTTTTATAAAGTGAGCCCCATGCCAGGATAATCCCTCACTTGATAAAGCATTTGTTGTGCAAGCGTGAAGACCTGGGTTCCATCCTCAGCACCCAGGTAAAAATTGTATTAGCTTAAAAAAGCCTGAGACAAGCCAGAATTAAAGGTTTTTATAAACTATGCTAAATACATTAGTACCTAGAGAAAACCTAAAAGCGTTTTTTAAATGAGCAAAGTTTCCCTACTTTTTTCATACTAAATGTCTAGCCATGGTTATTTGTGATGGGGGGGGGAAGCTATAAATTATGGGAACAAAATACTGTTATTATTCCTAGTTATAGGCCTAGAAAATTCTGAGAAAAAATAAAACAGCTATATAGTAACTTCTGCAAGCTCAAAAAAAAAAAACCCTAAGGTTAATTCGTGAGCATCAGCAGCGTGGTAATACTGTCATCCTAGTAACACAGGCATTGGCACAGAGCAGAGAGCACAGCAAGTGGGAGGCATGGCAGTCACAGCATTTCCAGCAGCCATTGTCAGTAGCCAACTGCTTAACAGTTGAGGCTCCAAACATGCCCTGTCCAGACAACCACGATGGATGGAATGAGTTTAGAATGGAGAGAAAGTAGACATTTGTATCAGTGAGGCACACTCACAAGACAGGCTGATCAGATGTGCCCCTCGTGTAGCGTGTGGAAGAAAGTAGATGAGTTCTATGGAATCGGAGCCTTGATGGTTTACAAAAGGAAACTAGACAAATGTCACCCCTATTGATGTGAGCTAAAGAAAGATCCAAGCTGATCCACTGAGATGGAATGAAAAACCCTTGGTAGCACGTTTTGAAGATGTCTGAGGTTTTGTATGATAAACTCAGTAGTGAGGGAGGACTAGTCACAGTCAGAGTGTCTGGTCAAAGGTGGAGCCCAGGGTAGAGGGATTGCTTTGCAAACATAAGACCCTGGGTTTGATCCTAAGCACTGTAAATTTACAAACTAATGAATAAATGAATGAATGAGATGTGGCCTTATTTAAAACTGAAAAAAAACCTAGGGTAAAAATATATCTAAAACAAGAGAGAAAACATCAACAGCCATCAGTTGATGACACTCACAAAACAGTTCTTAAATTAAAGCCTTTACTACTTGAACTACCAGTACCCAGGAAAATTAAATGTTTACTTTTAACTTAAATTGCACACACTTACTAAGCTAGTGAAGCACAATTAAAAATTAAACCCAAGTTTATGGGAAAATAGTATATATTGTTCTTGATAAGTGTTTTTGAAGCAGTTTAAATAAAATAGTTATAAAGCTATTTCTTTGCCTAATAACTCTGTTGACTGAGGTTTCTGTCCTGTCCAACCCTGCAGTAGTTCAGTCCCAGATAAACACACAGAGGCCTACATTGATTATAAACTGATTGGCCTATTAGCTCAGGCTTCTTATTAACTCTTATAACTTATATTTGCTCATAATTCTTGTCCATGTTAGCCATGTGGCTTGGTACCTTTTTCATCAGGGAGGTCTTCTCATCTGGCTTCCTCTGTGTCTAGATGACAACTGCAGACTGACTCTTTTCTCCTCCCAGAATTCTCTTGTTCTCATTGCCCCACCTCTACTTTCTGTCTGATCACCCTACCCATACTTCCTGCCTGGCTACTGACCAATCAGCATTTATTAAAAATAATACAAGTGACAGGATAAAAGACTATCCTTAAAAAAAAAAACCAAGAACTCTGAATCTAATATTCTTTGTTTAGCTTTCTTCATGACTATTATCCATACAACTTGTAACCAACACTCTAAACAAAGGCAAACATCCATAATCCATATTTTGGGAATGCAGGTGTAGTTTTCCAGACTACTTCCTGCTGATTGAAAGCACTGATAATCTTACAGGGAGCTAAAGAAAATTTTGAATTATGGTCAAGTCCTGAATAGAATATTCTGTGAGGCTTGATCATCTCAGCCAACAGTCTTGAAACTGTTCTGGATGCAGAACTCAAAGGAAACTCAACAGAGGTCCCCTGAAATTTTGGATCATCTGGACCATCCATTCCTTTTGGAGATTTCTCAGGGGGTCTTCCTTAATCAAACCTTATTTCTCTTAATCTAGAATGAATCCACAGCCTCTCATTTCCTGTGAAAACAAAAGCAAAACCTCTTCTCCAAAGTAACATACCTTTTAACTTAAATTTTGAAGTCAAGGCATTTTCAAAATATATACGTTAGATTAAACCAACAACATTTTTTTAGCATTAACCCAAGTTTATTAAACCTTACAAACCAATGATTGCCTTTTGTATTTTCCAATGCTTTTTTATTTATAGAAAAAAAAACTCAGCAGCATTTATTTTTCTTTCTCAGCAGCATTTATAATCAAATGTCTTTTAGCAGCTTTTGCTCCTTCCCCAGTCATCAAACAATTTAAAGACAATACAATAACATACAGTATCCATACTCTCTGTATATTTTTCATCTTTATGTGGCTTTATTTTAAACTCTATTTCTTTTATTTTTATTTTAAATTTTTCCTTTTTGAGACAGTGTTTCTCTGAGTATCTTTGGCTGTCCTGGAACTCACAGAGATCTGCCTGCCTCTGTCTCTCAAGTGCTGGGATTAAAGGTGTGTGACACCATACCTTGAACTCACAGAGATCCACCTACCTCTGCCTCCCAAGTATTGAGAATAAAGGTGTGTGCCACTACACTCAACTCTCTTTGTTTCTTTTTTATTTTAAGGACTTTATCCTTTTCCTTTTCTCTCTGAAGAGTACATATATTTTTAAATACACTGTAAACCATTTAGAGGTTTTCTTCACCTGAATCTATTTTTACTGTACATCTTTCTTTTTTTGACAACATGAGTCTTTAATTTGCTAAGCAGTATGGCTAGAATTAAACCCATTCCTTAGCTTTCTGAGAGCCTAGCTTCATGGCAGAAGTACTGGCTGGAGCCATGTTTATTACCACAACTCTGTGGAGTTTCAAGGTCCCTGACACCACCAAGATGCATGCTGTTGACAATTCATAAACACCATTTAAGTGTTTGCTGGCAGGGCCTCTTAAAAGAGCTGCAAAGTTTCACAACTAAAGCTGAGTTAGGAAGCCTCTCTTAAATGAGATGCGCTTGCCTCTAGCAAAGAGAGCAAATCTGAGAAATTGCTGCTACCAACGCTATTCATTTTTGTCCAGAATTATTTCCCAAACTCTCTCAGGTTGTAAGTGGATTTAGCTGTCCACATTGGTGCCATTTGTTGACTGAGGTTTCTGTCCTGCCTGATCTAGCAGTCATTCAGTCCCAAATAAACACACAGAGGCCTACATTAATTATAAACTCTTTGCCTATTAGCTCAGGCTTTTTATTAACTTTTATAACTTACATAACTCCATCTTGTGGAACATATGTAAGAAGGAAAGGATCTATAGTGATTCATTTGAAAGACTTTATAAAGACATGTATTATAAGACTATTTATAGCAATGATAAATTAACCAAGAACAAGCCAAGTAAGTAGACAAAACCAGAACACTGATAAAGAAAGATTTAAAAAAAAAAACTAACAGTGTGGTTCCTTTCCTTAGAATATCAGTCTTCTATCCATGTCATTAGGGATTCCATGGGGATCATGCCTAGTCTTCCACAGGAAGACCAGGAAGTGTGGAAGTTGAGCATAGATTAGAATGGGTGGAGACATCTCCATTCCAGTTCTAACCATACATCTGGGGTACCACCTATATCTTTTATGAACTAGTATTCCAATGCCACCCTTAACATATTTAATATTTTTATAAGTATATACATGATCTATAGCTTAAAATTTTTAATATAGTAGGGTTTGTTCTTAATAATATATAAATGTTAGAGTTCTTTTCAGTGAACATAGCACATCTTATGCCCCTTGCTCAAGTTCAAGCTTGATACCCACAGTTCAAGCTTAGATAACACAATTTAAGTCCAATGAGACAAGAGCGGATCTTGACCCCAACATTTGCTCATGTTTTAGTTTAAGCAAGTCAGTTACTATCCCTTTCTTCGTCTGCAAACTGGGAGCCAGCCTTTACTTTGCTGGGTTGTTTGGAGGATTCCCTACACTTTAAGCATCTAGCACAAGAATTAGACATTTAAAAGTAGGAGTGAAAGGTAGCCGTGGTTATTCTTATAGTTTTCCATGCTTTTAACGCCAAGGGCAAGAGCTGCTGAGTCTTCATACTATTCCTTGAGGTTAAAGTACCTAGAGGCTTATACTCTTGAGGACATACAACCTTCAAGGTCCAATTTTAATCAACTGTAGGATTCTAGAAAATAGGAAAGGCAAAGAAAGCATTCCAGAGGAAGGATATTCCTTCAGCAAGAGAGAGCTAGCACACTTGAGTGTGACAATCTCTAGTAAACCAGCAGTGCACACACATAGCATATAGTATAGTCATGGCACAGAATCCAGCTGCATAGGTACTGTTGCTCCCTGGACCCTTTGGGGACTCAGTTACTGCCTTAATTTCAAAGCAATCCCAATGAATATCTAACTTCAATGAAAATTTGGGGAGACATTTGAAGGATAACGGGTTTGTTGTGATCCTAACATTTAGAATCGGTTGTGTCTAGTAAATACATATATCTTCATCTTCACTTACACAAATGCAGCCTACATCCTGGGGCAATCTTTTGCTGCAATTAAAAACAAATTGATCATGTAAACAAGACCAAGAACAAAGTTATAAGGAGTTTCTAAGAGTTCCTGCTCTCATGTAAAGCAGTTAACTACTAATCCTGGCTGAGCCTGGCTTATCTCAACGGCAGAGAAGAAGGGGCCCCCGCATAGCTCAAGATAGCGTTGTATGAAATATATTCACTTGCAGGGTTTCCCGTCAAACCCCAAGCAGCACAGATTGAGCAGCTCATACATTGGCGTGAACTTTGCAACAGCAGCTTATTGGAGGCCCCAGTGCACTGTACATTAATTAAGTAAGCTATCAGCTAAGCTGCTGTAACATGTCAAAAATACAGGAGTTTAAGCAATGTATGTTGATTTCTCTCTTACCAGGCAGTCTAGAGACAACTGGGCCACCCAGCATGAAAGAAATTTCTCCTCTTCTCTCCATAGTCCTAACACTCAGGCTCCTTCTGCTTTGCACATTTCTTACAGCCCTGGGGAATCTTATCTGCAAGATCAAAGCTGGCCCATAATACCATGTTCGAGTGCAGCCTGTGCTAGAAGGAAAGCAGAGACCACACACTCGTCTGTGTTGAGGAGGGGGAAGCTTATGCTGATCATCAAGTCAGTCGCATCCCGCACCTAACTAGGGGAGCTATGATCTGTAGGCATATGCCCAGCCAAAAGCCAAATGCCTCTCTTACAAGGATGAGTGGAAGAGAGGTGACAGATGGAAGTCTAAGTCGCGCTCAGTAGTCTACAAACAGGAGGGAGATGTTTATTTCATAGGCTTAAATTTTATTTTTCTGTCCCAAGATAAAAGTCTAACTTTGTTGGTTCACTTGTATCTTCCACCAAATGGGCCTCGTGTGTTCATTTTGTAACCTGTAGTCTAACATTTTGTCATCCTAGGAGACTCAGCCAGAGGCCAACAACTGAAGAATTAGAGCAAAGAAACATCTTAAGACGTGAGTATATGATTCCATACTGTGATCCCTAATGTGATCCATAATAAGGTGCCCTAGAGACAACCTATCCATCAGGAGAGAAACATGATTCACAGCTGACTGGGAAGGCCCGTGTATGTCATATATATTAGTAGATGTTTACATATTTAAAAAAATAATTTCTTGGTTTTCATATTTCATTTTATAGCTTTAAGCCTGATATCCCCTAAAGTGGAGTCCTGGTCATAGCAATTATTTTTGAGAAAAATTAAATTTATCCCATGTGTTCTTTTGCCGAAATATTAAAGAAAATGCTCTAGTCTACTTTCAAATAACTGCCAAAGAACGAACCCACAAAGAAATCAATCAAGCATTCCTATATTGTTATGAATAATACAGTTGGTTGCTAGGTTGAGTAAAAATTCCAATTTAAAATTATGGTAAGAGGGATTTTTCCAGGCATTTCACTTGCCTTTGTTGTGATTGCTCCTCTTCTTTCTTGAATTCTTTGTGGTTTCTTGGAACTTAGAGAGGTCTCCATTCATTTCCCACTTGGTTTTTCCTTTCCAGTTTCTGGCAGCAAAGTGTGAGGAGATCCCACTAGAACCACAGTCTGTCCTGCTGTTCTCTCAGGATGGTCACCAGCTCCAGTGAGCTAAAAAGCAGTGCCTAGCTGTACTTCTAGATATTAACCTAGTTCCAAAGGAGCTTTTTAGTTCATGGAATACCAAAAGACAGGAACGATCAGAACTCTGGGCAGACTATAATAGCAGTAAGCCATTGCCATGGAAGCATCCTTTTCGACCAAGCTGGCCGGGTACGGTCAGCCTGCTGGATGACCCCACGCTTTCATAGGAGTTATTTTCTTTTGTAAAAGAAAGAAAGATTTTTGTAGCATATTTCTAGCAATTTTGCCATAACTGAAGCAACCTAGCAATGAACACTTACCAGTGTAAGCAGGACCAACCACACAGTCTGTGGCATCTCTTCCCTGCCGTGCTTCTTTCTGGCTATTTGTGAGTCTGAGTTGACTAGAACCCACCAAAGTGGCTGCTAATATGAAGAAATGTCACTCTGAAAGACAAAAAGGTTGTAACTACAAAAGGAGGGTGCATTTTTACCTAAGCAACATCTAATGTTGACATGAAAACAAAGCCCCTAAGTTTCAGAAGTGTTTTCCATGATGGAGTTCCTAGGACATACTGAGTTAAAGTTTAAACTCAAGGGTAGACTGTGAGGGCCTGCAAGTACAGAGGGAATGTCTTCTTGGGTGTCTGATGAAATACTTGGAAAAGAAGGCCTTGCAAGTTCTAGATAATCCTGTCCATTGGGACTGATGTGCCAAGCCACACTGGAGTTTAGTTATTTAAGGAACTCTTTCATGGATCCGGAAATGTATTGCATGTTGATCTTAAGTGCTGTGTTGGCTTCTCTACCCTCTGTTTTCCTGGAGGTTCGGGAAAGAGCGAAGCACCAAAGTCAACTTCAGATTTGGGTCCAGCCCTGTTTTACTTCCTTCTAAGTTCATGTTGATTCTGGAAAGTGGAGGTCCATTTCCAGTCTGGAGCGGCTGATAACTGGCTCCTGATCCCCTGACATGCGCCAAGGGAAGCAGACAGAGCTGGGGCAGAGAGGGGGGGTTCTTTCCACTGAGCAGCACAGGGCCTTAGCCCACAAACACTTCATTCAGCCCCTTGCTTCTGCACTCCTCCGTACTGCCCTCTTTTTTGTTGGTATATTTCATCTCAAGCTTTTGTTCAAAAGCAGCAACAGTATCTAAATGAAGACACCAGAAAACTGTGATACAATATGATTTTTAAGGTCATGTAGACCATCTCTTGGGGGCTAGGAAGCTGATTCAAAGCATAAAGTATTCAGTAGTTCTCTACTTGAAATGCACCACCCCTTTGGTAATTATGGCTAAGATAACAGCGAATACCAGCAACTATTTTGTAAGGACATGGAGCAAACTTGATGTCTTACCATCAGATCCCTTATACTCCACACTTGGTTTCTTTCCTATGTTGGTAAAACTGTTTTCTTTAACTACATTCATATTGTATAATGCATAAGCTATATAATGTGCTTGAATACATATTATATTGTATAATATATCAACTACATTTATATTTTATGATTCAGTTTCAAAACAGTCCCTTAAAATACAGATCATATATAGAGGTATGTCTTCCTGCCTCTGGCTGGCCAGAAAAAGTGATCTATATGGGACAGCTTTTCCATACAGGACCCGAAAAGGATGCATTGCTCTCGTGGGCACACTGTGAGTGCCAGGCCAGCTGTATTTTCCATTGAGAGAAAGAAAAAAAATGACCCAGGTCATTGGATTCTGAATCTTTATCTTCAACAATCAATTGTAAAATTTTTTGAATCTACAAAAAACTGAAGAAATTTTACAGAACGCACCTAGCCATGCGTGTTCTACTGTTGACGACTTTATCATAAATCGCCACCCATTGAGTTATGTTTTTAACATATATATGACATATATATGCTATTTTTCTATTTTAAAAGGTTATAGATGTATTTTTATTTGTTAAACATACCTGTCTGGGGCCACTGAGATGGCACAGCAGGTTAAGACTCTGGTAGCAAACCTGACAACTTGAGTTTAATCTCCAGGGCCCACATGAATGTACTCCTACAGGTTTTCCTCTGACCTCTAAAGGTGTGCTGTGGCAGTGTGCTTGTGAACACATGTGCATGTGTGCGCGTGCACACACACACACAAACAGAAAATAAATAAATGTTTAAAAAATAAAACAAAACAAAAATTCACCCACATGGAAACATATAAAGAGGCAAAAAGATCAACAAAACCACAAAGAACATGTTGGGGGAGACCCAGGTCATTTTCTGCACAGCAAGGGCTCAACCGTGCACCCCTCCCGCTGCTGGTTTTGCTCTATTTTCTCCTCTCTCAGCTCATTCACACAATGCTGGAGTCATACTGGCTTGGCAGGCAGGTTTCTGCAGTGCCTGCTGCCTTGAAAGCAGGGGTGTTGATGGAGTATTTACTCAGACACTTCCCTGTGGCTGTCTGAAGTGGCACCCTTCCGCTCTGACATAAGACACTGACCCAAAGTTCTGCCCCTTCCTTCACAAAAGCCCTATGGTCCATCCCATTGCCCCCAACAGTTTACATCACCCAGTAGGGTTAGTCCTCTAATTCGTCTGCAAGTGAACGAGATGTGTCCTAAATGACCCTCGCGGTGAACACTTCAGTACCAGCTTCAGGATTTCCCCTTGCTGGTCCTACCACTCTGCAAAGACTCAAAGGTGACCCCAGGGCAGCCCCCTCCATCCTTCACCCTCTTTAGAAGAATCACTTCAAACATGAGAAATGCTAAAAGCCAGTTTCCTAGTGTCAGGGAAGAGTTCCCAAATGGTACAGCCCTGTTTACTTAAACTTCCTCATCGGCTCTTTCTTTCTTAAACATCGCTGACTGTCACCTTGTTGTACAACATCCTTAATAGGGTAAAACTAATATTCCCTTTAAAGAAGTGACATTTTACACAAGTAGTGAAAACCTTTGGGCTTTTTTTTTTTTTTGTCTTTGAAAAATGCCTTTAAGAAATGAAGCATGGGGATTAGCAGGGATGAAGGGGTAGCTTAGCAGTTGAGAGCACTCGCTGCTGTTGCGGAAGACCTGGGTTCAATTCCCATCACTCACGTGGCAGTTTACAGTTGTCTGCAACTTCAGTTCTAGGACATCCAATGCCCTCCTCTGACCTCTGTGGACACCGAGCACACATGTGGTGTGCAAACATAAATGTAGGCAAAACATTCATAAAATTCAATGAATACATCCAATTTTTTAAGTAGCTTAAAAAAAAGAAAAAGTGAAGCATAGTAGACATATAGGAAGACATGACTAAAGTTATACTTATTAAATTATTATTTCTTTTAATATTATGTCATCACAGCTCTAGCCTTGTATAGCTCTGATTTTAATCAGATTAACAAGAAGTTTGGAATTTGTGTAATATGTATAATAGGCAATCCACAATATTCATTCAGCTCACATTAAGTAACCGACCCTTTGCATATACTTTAAGGGTACAGAAAGACATATTTTTGTAAAGCCATAAGCGAAGCTTACAGTTCATTCATAATAAGAAATCTGACTTCTAACCAAATCCATCTGATGCAGGAACACTCTCTTGTCTGAGAGTGATTTCAGTTTGTCTGTAACAACAAAGGTCATTCTCTTACATATAAATGAAAAGATGTATTTGAGAAGAAAACAGAAAGTTCGGTATGTCCAGAGAAGGAGAAAGATGTATGGAGAATATAAGCTGGTCAGTGAGCAAATGCCTGTAGCAAATACCACTACCTACTGCCTGTAGGTGGTGGTGCACACCTTTAATCCCAGTACTCAGAAGGCAGAGACAGGTGGATCTCTGTGAGTTCAAGACTAACTTTTTACTCTTGAAACCAGTGCTCAGTGGTGAAAAGTCCGTTTAAAATGCTACAGTAAATATATTTTGGAGTTAGAGGAATTGATTGCTTGCCACATGAGCGTGAAGGCTTAAGTTCTATCCCCAGCACCCACTTTAAAAACTGGATGTGTTAAACGGGCAGTGATGGCGCATGCCTTTAATCCCACGACTTGGGAGGCAGAGTAAGGCAGATCTCTGTGAGTTTTAGGTCAGCCTGGTCTACAAGACAGGCTCCAATGGTACAGAGAAACCTTGTCTTTAAAAACAAAAACAAAAACCAACAACAAATAAAAGTGTGGTGAGGTACAATTACCACCTCAATGCTGGTGAGGCAGAGATAAGTGGATTACTGGGGTTCTCTAGCCAGATTTAACAGACTAATCAGTAAACCTCCGGTCCCAGTGAAAAACACTGTCTTAAAATCCAAAGTAGGTAGAATCGGATGATGACATTCAAGGTCCTCTGATGTAGGGAGGGAGGGAGAAAGAGAAAGAGGGGGAGAGAGAGAGAGAGAGAGAGAGAGAGAGAGAGAGAGAGAGACAGAGAGACAGAGAGACAGAGAGAGAGAGACAGAGAGAGAGAGAGAGTAAAAACTAAAACTTTTGTTGGGTGGTGGTAGTACACTCCTTTAATCCCAGTACTAGGGAGGCAGAGACAGGTGGATCTCTTTGAGTTCAAGGTTAGCCAGGGCTACAAGAGCTAGTTCCAAGACAGGCTCCAAAGCTACAGAGAAACCCTGTCTCGAAAAAACAAAATCAAAAATAATGTAAAATAAAATAAAACCTTTCATAGAAGAGAATTTTTCTGAAGTAGTACAGTCTTTCTTCACTAGACTCTTTAGAATGTAAGTATTTACATATCTTGCTATGAAGTAAAATCAATGCCTTACTTAATACAGACGAGAGACAGGAAACACACAGAAGCTTTCCAAATAGCATCCCATAAATCCTGAAGGCTGCCTATTTCTTTAAAAATTCTGAACTCTTTTTTCAATCCCATCTGTTGGACTGCTTGAAATTGCACTACTTGATGAAGCACTAGAGAAAAAGATGACTTTGGAAAGTTAAAGTCACAAGAAAATAAATAATTTCTACCCGCAGTACAACTTGACCCCGTTCAGAACGGTGGTTTGAAAGCCAAGGCCCAAGGAATGCTTACATTTTGCTTCTATGGAAACATAGGAAGACAGATCAAATATTTTGGTTGGGTTTGAATGGAAGTCAGCAGCTCGGACGTGCATGGGATTGTTCTAATTTGTTCTTTTAGCGTGCCTTGGAGTTTTCACATGAAGATCAGATCCAGAAGTAGATATTTTTTTTATCTGAATTCTGGTAGTTTATGTTTCTAAGACGATAATATGTGCATGGAACAAAGAATCAGGAAGCAACAAGGTTTGAAATCAGGGAAGACAGTCCACCAGTTCCCTATGGGAGAACGATACCATTGCATGTATGCATAGATATCCCATGCGGATGACCGTTCTCTCTGCAGAATCCTTTGATAGATTTCTAGCATGATGGCTTGTATAATCAGCATATGCCAGAGTCGGGTAGTTGTTCCTGGTAGACTTTTCTGATTGTACGATCATCTCTAGTAACTATACTTATGCCTAATTAACAGAAAAGAATGAAGAAGAGGAGCAAGAAGCAAAAATGGAACTCAAACGGAGACTCAGCCGGAAGGTGATGACATTTCAACTGCTAATGAGCATGCGTGTTCTGGGATACAGTTTATCTTCGTTAGATACAAACCCACTCTTAACACGTGACTGGGATGTTTAGGAATGAGTGCTTCTATTAGGCCACCATGTGATTCAAGGCATTAAAATGAACAATGCACACAAATCAACTATCTTCTATTTGTGTGCTATGTTCATTTTGAAAAGTTAACAGCTTGTACATTGTAGCTAATGATTATGAAAATAGGTATGTTAAGTGAAAAAGTTTAAATACAAAAATGAACAAAAAAGATGTCATACACAAATCTTCCATTTAGAGAGCCACCATTAGCATTTCAATATATTTGTATGCCATTAATTAGGTTGAAAAATGCTCACACTCTCCATTTTATCTTGGAAATACTAAATAAGTATTTTGTGGCTCTTAATGATTTGTCTCTACTCTATAGCAAGCCTGGGTGACTAATTTATTGAGTGAACTTGACCACAGTGTTGCCACAATTGACAAATGGCTTTATCTCTGGAACTCAGGCAATGTTTCCACTTATTTACAAAAATACAAACCTGATCCCAGGACCACGACTTTGTTTTTTTCTTCTCTGCTAAAATTAATTAGCCTTTGGAAAAATTAAGGACGATCAGAATTTATATTTCATCATAAATCCTTGTAGTGGTTTCTCAGATATACCTTCCATACCTGGAAGAGAGCAAGGTGACTCAAGTGTGACCCCATAGCCAGCCCAGTGTGTGGCCTGACTCAGGTTGTTGAGGGCTGGCTGGGGAGCTCACAACAAAGCATTCCGAGATAGGTCTGGGTTTCTTTCAAATGTAGGATTATTCCAGTCTGTCTTGGTGCTTGTGAAAGGACCAAGAGAGTAAAGCAAGGGCACCCCAGGGCTGGCCGGATTAAATATGCGATAAATTTGAATGGGACAGAGGACTTGAGAAGGAATCCCCAGACATGTCAGAAAGATTGCAAGAAGGAGTGTCCTCCATGAAGCCTCCTTCATCTGCCAGTCACCTATCCTGGCTGTGTTGGCCAGCGCAGGACCTGTCCCCATCTCTCCAGGAAGACCACACTGTAGCTATACCCTTCTCTGAGCCATTTCAGCAGAGAACACCGCATTTCTACATATGCCAGACTCACTTGGAGCAGAGACTCGTTTTCTAGGAGTTTCATGGCTTTTTGTCTTAGTCCATCGGCCACCACCATAACTGTCCTTGAGCTGTGTGTTCACCACTGAGTGTTCCTGTGACAGAGATGACAGGCAAACCTTAATCTTAGTGCCAGGCATGCTATGGGGAGTCACACAATCCAGACAGTTGCCAAAGGCTGACCTAGCTAGCAGTGATGATTTTCTGGTCTGGAAATGAGGGCACGCTGCTTTCTAGGTCTCGTTACAAATTCCCAAGATGCCATTGCTTTTCTTTTAATACCTGAAAGTGACCTTAACTTTGAAACATTCCAGCCAGAAACCTTGCCACCTAGAGGCTGTAAACGTGTAACTGATCTCGGCCTTTCCCTCCTACCCTCCTGTAGCTCAGCCTAAGACCTTCTGTGGCCGAGCTACAAGCCCGAAGGATCCTGCGGTTTAATGAGTATGTAGAAGTCACGGATTCTCCGGACTATGACCGCCGCGCCGACAAGCCCTGGGCCAGGTTGACACCTGCCGACAAGGCAAGTATCTCAGTGTCCTCTAGTGCTTCCAAAACCTGTGTGCTCAACCTCTGCTCAGCTATCCTAGCCCCTTTCTCCCTCTGGAAGTTTAAATACAAGTGGTCGTGTAAAGCAATAGCAAAATACAGTTCTTTCTACTGGGTCTCAGAGAAAGCTGGTCCTAAATTGCTGTGTAACCTGTCTTCAGTCAAGTGTAGTGGTGGAGGGTTTCCTCATTGTGATAGGAGGCTTTCTTAATTGTGATAGGAGGCTTTCCTCATCGTGATAACAGTCTTGGTTATCATCTTGACTGGATTGCAAAATACCTAGGAGATCATAAAGCGTGCATGCAGATGTGTTTTGTCAGGCCTTGCTAGACTGAGAAGTCTCTGGCCTAAAAACGAATTCACCCCTTTACAGATGCATAGTATTACTGGCCGCTGGTGAAGTGTAGTAGGTAGGACCTGGTTGGCAGCACGAATATTATGGGAATATTGGGAGTTTCTTCCTGTGGTGGCCTTGTCTACTTCGCTGCTGTCAGGTCGTGTACTGGGAGCTTCTTTTCTCCACTGCACCATCCCTGATAGGCCGACATCTCTGAAACTGTGAGCTAAAATAATCCTCCCTTAAATTGTTTCCAAGAAAGAGTCCGTAGCCTGAGATTAATATCAACCATTTGTTTTTAAGTTTTTCACTTTACCAGTTTACCAGTATCTCTAACAATGTTCATAATTTTTTTATTCTCAGTGAAACCTGGCATTGAATAAATACATACCATACCTGTAACTGAGTATTTGATGAGGCTGTGTAGTGATGCTTCTTAAATAAATGATGCATTTTGTCAGACATACTATGTGCAAAGGACACATTGGAGATGTTTATAAAGAAACGACTAGCAAGGGTGAGGCCCTGAGTTCAAGTCCCAGCAGGGCTGAAAAGAAGAGTAGAGGGGCACAGCTAAGAAAGGCATCCCAGGAACATTTTAGAAAAAAGTGATAGACGAGTGTAGAAGAAACCACTGAAAGATGTGAAAAGAGAAGACACACCAGCCAGGAGGAGAGCGTTAGAGGGATGACCGTGAGTGTTTAATGCCCAGAAAGAGAGGCATTTCAGAGGACTGACTGCTGGAAGACAATAAGGATAAACACAGTCGCCAGGGTCTCAGCTTTGAGGGAAGAAGTTAATCATAAGCCAAAGAAAGGCATCAAAATAGGAGTCTGTCTTTTTAATTTGGAAAAGAATTTTTTTTTAATTATTTATGTCATTAGTTGGTTCGCTTGTATGTATGTCTGTATGACGATGTTTTTGTAGCCCGGAACTGGAGTTACAGACAGTTGTAAGCCGCCACATGGGTGCTGGGAATTGAACCAAGGTCCTCTGGAAGAGTAGATCATGCTTTTAACCGCTGAGTCATCTCTCTAGCCCCAGGGGTCAGGGGTGGAAATTTTAACAGGTTTTTACTTGAAGGAAGGAGCCAAAAATGAGGGTAAAGGTGAAGTCTACATGAGGAAAAGTTTGAGTGAGACTGCTGAAGGTGGGCTGGTGCTCACAGGCAGGGAGCAGGCACTGAGGGAGGAGGCTGTGGACAGATACCTCCGTGTGCAAACACACTGTCAAATGTGCACAGGAACATAGATCCCACTTCAGTGGACTGCTGATTCATAGGGGTTCTCCGTAGATTCGGGTTTCTATATGGTGAAAATAAGCCCATGCCTGCTTTGGGGATATGTCAACTCTGTTTATGGGGCTTGTTGATGAAAGAGAAATGCCTTAATACAGCCGAGTTTAGTCGAACTCTTTCCTTCTGTGTTCTGATTTCATTTTTGTCTTTTGAATTCTCCCTGGGCCAGAAGGAAGGCTGGGCAGGTAAATCACTTGTTTTGATAGTCTCCTGATCTGAGCTCCATCGCTGGGATCGCCAGTGGAAGGAGAGAAGCACCTTCCACGTATGTGGGACACTCAGGGCCCTGAACTCACACGTGCAGTAAATAAGAATGTTTTGAAAGTCTTCCCTTCATGTACGAGATACGTCATTACATATGTAGAATGAACCACATTTTCGTTATAGAAATGAATTACTTCAGACTATCTTATGACTGTGGATTCAGACCGCAAACCAGGTGGGCAGTCACCTTACAGGTTCAGTTCCTCAGCCTACGTTCCCACCCACCCCACACTGACTCCAGCTCAACGTTCCCTTTGTTGCCTTCTGGGGTTCAGGCAGCATAGCTTTGTGTTAGGATATTCCATTTGGTCTCCCCCATCTTCCATGTCCTGCTTGCTTTTGAAAATGACTACTTAGATTCACCAGATTTAATGCAAGTATCCTCAAGTCAAAGACATTTTCACTGTTTACTTTCCTTTTCTGGGTTACCTCTTTTTGTTTGTCTGCCCCCCCCCCCAGAAGTTTCTACTCTCTTACCAGCCATTCAGTATATTTAAGATAGTTTTTAATGCTTTATCATCTTCACTGTTTTTCAATAAAAGGGTTAATCAAGGCATCTAGCATATCCTATAGCAAGAAATAGATTTATTCCAGTTACTCTCCTTCCAGCTGTGGACTTTCCTCACTCTCCCCTCACTCAGTGACTTCTAGTTGTCACTGCTGCAGCCACTGTCCCCCTGCACTAAGCTACCCAAAGCTTAGTGATGAAGAACAGAGAGTTTCATTATATCTTGTGGATTTCATAGGTCGTGATATATTCAAGCATCATTTGGGCAATTCCACTTTCCATGGTTGACTACGGTCCTCAGTGTCACCTACCTGGTGACTAGGCTGCTCTGAGAGGTTCAGGACTGGTTCTCCAACATGTCTTGTGTCTTGGTTTCCATAGCCCAGAGGTGGAGCTCAGCTGGGCTGCCCAGAGAACCACTTACACATTGCCTCTTCGGCGTGAGTCAACAGACCTTTTCCCTGAGCTGGCTTCCCTCACAGCAGGCTCTGTCTCCGGAGAGTCCAGTAAAAGCCACTTGGCCTTTTCTAATCATCCTTAGAAGTCTGTTATGGGATATTTGTGCATTGTGTCAAGATGTATTTGCTGTGGTTGGTGTAATGAAAAGCTGAACGGCCAACCGCTAGGCAGGAGGGTTAGGCATGACTTCTGAGTCGAGAAAGGAAGAGGAGGATGAATCTAGTCCCGTGAGAGATGCCAGTAGCAAGGAGAGGAAACAGGAGGTGCAGGATGGAAGAGAGGTAATGCCACATGGCAGAACATAGATTAAAATAAATGGGTTAATTTAAGTTATAAGAGCTAGTTAGGTGCAATTAATTTCATAATCAATAAGAGGTTTCCATGTCATTATTTGTAATCTGGTGGCCCAAAGGAAAGTCTGACTACAAAGTTACTCAAGGTGCACATCTGCTTCATTCTGTTGGCTCCAACAAGTCATAAGGACAGCTCAGACCCAGGGGAAGGGGGTAGACAGGTCTACCTCTTGTTATGGGAAGGGGGTTGATAACTCTGCTTCTTGTTAGGAGAGCAGTGGGGTCATATTGTGTAGACTGAAGGTGGATTGTAGCCATCTTAGAAAAGAATGATTTGCCACATTCATTGCCAGCCACCTGATTATTCAAATGCCAGCCTTTATACAGGCCAGACAAACAGTAAAATCCTCGCTTGTGCAGGAGTGACGGTTGACATTACTAACCACCCTTGTATGCAAACTCAGTCTCCATCCATGTAAGAGCCATTCCTTGCCTTTATTCTGTTTGTGGGAGGCAGAGCTTATCTATTTCCAGCTACAATGGGCAGAGATTTTTTAAAAGGACATTTTGAACTGAGACAAAGAAAGGCTTTTGTCTTGAGAGTGTTAAACGTAAGGGAATTGGGCCTGGTTAGGTTTTCTTCTACAAGCCCAGTTTCTGTTCTTTCGTACTTTAAGGACATAGGAGTCTCACATCTCTCTTGAACATGGCATCTGAGCCCAGGGCAGAGCCAGAGTCCCTCCCGACTTACAGGGGTGGCTCATTTCTCCAGAGGAAATCTCACACATTTATCCTGAGACGTGTTAAGATCTAAAGGACAACATTTTTAGGGCTGTGTTTATATTGTCTGTGTTCCCTAGGAGAAAACTGTTTTCTTTAAATAAGAATTTGTTTAGACCAAAAAAAGTATACTTTTAAAAAAGTAGAAAATAGGATTGAAACTCCGTGCTATTGTCCTTGGCTTCTCATCAGCCCTCATTGTCCGCCATATTCAGAGAGTCCGGTTTTATGCCATGCTTTTTCAGTCCCAGTCCAGCTGGCCTTGGTGAGCTCCCAATAGATCAGCCCCACTGTCTCAGTGGGTGGGTGCACCCCCCGTGGTCCTGACATCCTTGCCCATGTTCTCCCTCCTTCCGCTCCTCATTGGGACCTTGGGAGCTCAGTCCAGTGCTCCAGTGTGGGTCTNTTGGGAGCTTGGGAGCTCAGTCCGGTGCTCCAGTGTGGGTCTCTGTCTCTATCTCCATCCATCGCCAGATGAAGGTTCTATGGTGATATGCAAGATATTCATCAGTATGGCTATAGGGTAGGGCCATTTCAGGTACCCTCTCCTCACCTGCCCAAGGAACTAGCTGGGGACATCTGCCTGGACACCCGGGAGCCCCTCTCTAGCCTGTTTGGATGCTCATCTTCCTAGACCTGCATGGAGGGGGGAGGACCTTGGACTTCCCACAGAGCAGGGAACCCTGACTGCTCTTTGGACTGGAGAGGGAGGGGGAGGGAAATGGGAGGTAGAGAGGAGGCGGAAATTTTTTTCAATTAAATATATATATAGTAGAAAATAGAAAAATGCAAATATTAAACATGCTGTTTACATGTAGTGTGTTTTATACGTCTGTTTTGTGTAGTATGTGTTGCACACCAAGTGGTGTGTGCTTGTTGTCAAATAGCTGAGTATCCAGACTCATGAGCAGGAGACATCAACTGGAATTTAGATCAATGCATGGCATTTTCAGAAATGTCTGAAAATACCGTTTTCTCCATAACACTGAGGAAAATTTAGTACTCTCACACCGTTGTTACAATGTGGATACACAAGGACT